CTGCCCATGTTTTTAACAATATATTAATGTTAACGAAGAAAGTTGAATCACTGTGAAAAAAGTTTATTACTAAAATGCTATGGAATTATTTTAATTACGAAGTGCAAGAGCTTAATCTATTACAAAGTGCATTTCAAAGTACAACAAGGCCTACTACAAATTGCGGTAATTATTAACAGAAATTGCGACACTGTTATTGCAAGGTGTTTTCTATTCCTGGGGAAACTCGACTTGTCTTCATTGATATGCTCGTTTTTGGGTGCCGTGTTTAATTTATGAGAAAAAAAGAAAAAAGAAAACAGATAAAAAGGTCAGGGAGAAGTTCACATAAGCCACTTACTACGAGTATGTTAAAACCAGTTAATTAGAAAAACATTGAGGCAGTTTTCACCCAAACCCCGGTTCTTCTTTGGCAGTGCTTGTGCACTTCAGTGGAAGAATTCTTACGAGTACATGAGATTTTTCCTCCTCTCCCCAGTTCATTTCTGTAGTCTGTTATGATAGAATACGATCTTGGAATCGTACAACTCTGATCGCGTTGAAGAGGAAGAAATGGAGCCAGGTCTGATTAAAGATCACTTTTGGCTTAAACATTTTTAGTGCCGCGAGCCTTTTTGCAACTAATTGTCGCACAGTTAAGGACGCTCGCACTAGTTTTCTCGAGTGGGGAGTCCATCGCGCGCGCTTATCCCACCTCTCTTTGTGCGGGCAAGATACAGAAAGTAAATATGGCGGGGCGAGGCTATTATTTTTTGTGCAAGTTTTTATGGCTCCAGTTTTCTGGGAAAATCTTTAAAAACAGACCTTGAGGAACAGAATCAGTTTAAGATTCTGGGAAACTGCCAACCTACCTACCCCTTCCCGGACTCTATAATTTGTCCCAAGGTGAGAATTTAGTTTTAATGTCGGATCATGGGGAGGGTGTAGGTGAGGAGTGTCAATCCTGTCCTCTATACAAGGTAGGTATTTTGGGGGCTTTTCGTCCTCGGAAAACCTCTAAGGCCCTTAGCAGCAACGCCACGCGCAAACGTGCGCCAACTATCCCCGGTCTCTTAAATAACAGCAAAGTCCTAATCCCTTTTACTGTGGGCCAAGATTATAGGGCTGGGGAGTGGGGTACTCAAGAAGTGTTATGCGGGGAGGCTCCGCCCCGAGGTCCAACCCCTCCACCTTTTAGGTTCTATTTTTCAAAAGAAATGGTACCCCTTTCATATACCTTGTTTAGAATTCTATCCTTTTAACTACCGTAAATGCAGTGTCTTAAAAGTATGAATAAATCACAAAACTAGAATGTTTTCTCTACTCTTTCACAGCCATAAAATGCATCTGTTAGCCCTTTTGGGCCTTTTTACTGACCGAAATGACAGAATTCCCTACCCTTTCATATACTTTGTGAAATTCCTTTTCTCATATACCTGAATCCTGAAAAAGGCACCCTTTTAAGGTGTGGCCGCCCCATGTGGGCCATTATAGGGATTACCAGGGATTAGTATAGGTAATAGCATGATTTGTAGTGATATTTGGCATAAATACCACCAGTGATATTTCAAAATTGTTACAATTTGAGACAATTTTGCAAAAGGTTTGTAATTTTCATATGTAGGTATTCCCAATTAAGCTTAAATACCACTGCTGTAAGCCAATCAAATTTCAGAAATTTCTCACGTAGTAGTATAACAGGTGAAATTAAAAAATATATAGACTAAGAAGGGAAGGCCCTCTCTCTTCGAAAAATAGAAAACGCGTTTTGAACTGAATGAAGAGTCGCTGTTGTATCAAAGGGTCAGGGAAGGGTTCACTTTTGAGAACTCGTTATATTGAGACAGTTTTATTGTTGAGCTGCATTAAAACGGTATTCCTGTAAAATGTTGATCCGGGCCTCAATTTTTTTGCGTGTAAAAAGCAAGAGCCTGTCATGTTTCCTTTACAGAAGAAAGATTTCACGACTTTGCCAGTTTTTCCTTTGCGACCAAATATAATAATCGGCTCACTCACTCAATACCTTTTCAGAGGATTTATCTGAAATGCTATTTAACGCTTGCAAGTCCCAAATGCCCTGAGGTGTATGTGGTAAACAACCCTGGTTCTTGCCACATAGACACGTGCAGTAAGAAAATCCAATCAGAAATTATTATGCAAATCAAAACGTTACTCCGCGCCACATTCAAAAATTGATAGCTTTGGTTGCAGATCTGAACTTGGCAGATTCCCTCTGATCATTGATATAAATGACAAGATACCTAATTACTTAAACTATCTCCAAGAAAAAGATGAAAACTCTATAGTTAAACAATCTTTAAAAATATCTGTTGACCTTTATCATAGTGGCCAAAATAGTTTTTACTCCAGTCTTAAGAAGATGACTGACGACTATGATTTCCCAGGCTTTAATTGTAATTTACTGAATAAATGTAAAATTAAGCAATATGTAGATCTTATGCAAAAGAAATATATCACTTACTGGAATCATACCCTTCAACATTCACAAAAACTTAACTTTTATTATAAAATCAAAACGAATTATAGCCCTTCTGTCTACCTAGATTTAACAAGAAAGAATCCTTCTAGGAAAACATTAGTGAAACTGAGAATAAGCAGTCACAAACTTAGGATTGAGACAGGTAGATACGACAATCTACCACGTGGCGAAAGGTTATGCAATCTCTGCAATTGTAACAGAATTGAAGACGAAACTCACTTTTTATTAGATTGTCCAAGTTTCTCTTCGATAAGAGATACGTTCTTCTCTAAACTAGAACCTAAAATACCGTTTCTACGACTACAATCACATGAGTCCCTACTATCACATCTGATGAATTCTACTGACTATTTTATTAACATCCAATTAATTTCATTTATATCAACTTGCTTTGAATTGAGAGACAAACTTATCTCCGGAATAATTAATCCTACTGATGATTAGAAATTAACAATGACTAATAAGTTTCAAATTATTTTAAATATTTAATTTACAAGGAATCAATGATTAATTTCAAGTAGCTTTTGCAATACTGTAATACTTTGTTATGGTCATGCAAATAAAGCTTATTGTTGTAGGTTGCGAAAACTGGGAAAGGTTGTTCATGAAAGAGAAACAAGACGTTCTCACATAAACGTGCTGTCCGTCTTTCACAGCTTCAATGCAAGAAAGGTAACTATGAGAGCCGCCTGGGATGTCAAAACCAGCCGCGCACGAGGTAAATTACTTGTTTAAGTGTCAATTCGGTAGTCAGAAATTTGTATTCCGCCAAGTTCAACTTAAAATTATTTGAACTGTTATTTAGTTAGTTATCACTCAGTTGGTGACAGTTTTGATAAATTTCATTACACCATGATACTGACAGCAAGGTTTGATAAAAAACCATAAATAGCCGAATTATATTTGTTTTCATTATTAGTTTCGTGCTAGATGAGCGTGGAATATATAGCAAACGTGGGAGCCATCATGCAAAGGAAGAAAGCTATTTTTTTTACAAATGGAAGACTTTTTTTCGTGCAATTGTAGTGTTGAGTTTATCAATTCGGCTACGAAAACTAGAGCTTAACTTGGAGCTTCTGAATTCTTCTTTTAATTAATTAATGCAACAAATGCTGATTTAAACATGAACATAAACAGTAATAATCATCTAATGCATGAAGATTTTCAGCGGTTTCGTGGAAATTTTTTGCCTGATTTCAATTTGCTTGCAAAAAAAATGAAAATAAAAACGTTATAGCGACTATCTGCTGAGTGAAAGGTACGGAATCATAGCCGGCTTTAAACCTTAATATTGGTTCAATGAACAAAATTTAATAATCTATTGCGAGCGTAAAGCGCTTAGATATCATTCCTCGAGGACTTTGAGACGGCGACAGAATGATATTCACTAAGAGATCGGGCCTTTCGTCGTTTTTATCCGAGCCGTTCCAACGTGTCTTAAGTCGGGCAATAATTAGAGAGTCCACCTCGCTGGTTAAACCTTTTTGGTTTTCATTTGCTGTTAGTGTAACAAGCCTTAAAACCTACCGTTTTTATTTTTTTTCTTATTGTGCAAAGCGATCATCCAACAGCAGTGGTAGAAACTTTGTGTCAGTAGTCTATTCTTCAAATGGTCATGGTGTTCATAGAAAAATCGTAGATCTATCAAAACGTATAGTGATCGAAACTGCCAGTATCTTTTAAGAACAAATTTGAAAAGAATTCACTTATTATTAATTTTTTTCTACGGCTTTTTTGTTCTTCAATCATCACTACCGCGCCTGCCAAGCAGTTTCACATAAAGTTCAGTGCAGTTTTCACCACTGTAAGCGTTATTTGGCTCATCAACATTCCAGTTTCTGAAGTCCACAATGGGACCATCTACCCACTCATAGCTGTGATCTGTACTGTTTAGGTTGAACAGTCCGATCCAGGAAGACGAAATCGAAGCTTGTCCGTTTTGCGCAAAAGGTTATTCTCCTCTGTACTGTGAATTGAGATGAGGGTACTTTTGTTGCTGGTACAAGACCTATGTGCGTCAAACCAGTTTAGTTCTTCCTTGAACACTTTAAAGCACGAGTTATTGAAATAAACCCAGTCAGATGGGGTGCACATTTCTGTAAAATAAAATGAAATACAAATAATAATAAAAATTCGGCACACTAGGAGAATGGGTACAAGCTAATGGCACAAAGTTTTGGGACTGTTTGGCTAGAAAACTAAGCAATGATTGGTTAGTGGTTGCCTTTCAGATACCATCGAGCAATCAAAACTCTGTAACTCTTGTCCACCTAAACGGCCGGCCCAGAAATCGTAGTGCCAAAAGCTTTTATACTCCCAGTACATATTAGTGGTGAATTAAAGGCAAGAAAAGTGTATCATAACTACCCTAGCTTACCCTCACAGAGCCTCCCATAAGAGTGAGGACCACATTTACACGTGAAACGTCTGCCAATGACGTCACAGGACTCACGACACGTTCCTCCATTATGGCAAGGATATGCTTTTACAGCAGTTGTTCTGACAATCAGCAACCTGAAGATTAGACTGAAAAAAAAAGTTGAGCATGAAATTCCTCGACCTAAATAACAGGTATTGCTACAAAACGTTGCAAAACCTCATAATCACGTTTGTCATAAGAAAACAAACTTAAGGATAATATTATTAAACGTCATTGAGGAGTGTCATTTTTTATTACTCAGTGACATAAAAAGTGCTGTGTTTAGTAGAAGTATACTTTCCCTTACTCTTATGTTGTTGTACACCAGATCGTAGTATCATCGGCCAACCCTCCGCAAATTCCAAGGCACCGAAGTTAATATATCTGTTTTCTTCGTTCAGTTGGCAGTTATCCTGGTCTGCGCTTTGTTTGAAGTTGAATGAGATACACCGACATTCCAGCCGGCAGGCGTCAAAGCAGAATAAAGACTTTCGAGCTGTGACGTTGGCAATCACGTGACCACGAAGTGCGTGGTTTTTAACAGTGTCCCTTCCGCGGTTGAAATAATATACAGTAGTCATACAGGCGTCTTTTGGGTTAACCAGAAGCGTGGTCTGCAACAGGGGCAGTATGACTTCAATAGTCAACCGGAAGAAGAATGGTTTGAAAAGATTAGTACCCATTGAACTTACGCAATCGTTCTCCTAGATCTGGGTAATACAGAGAAACAGATAAAATTGAAGAAAGGATAAATTAGAAGTGAACAATTTCATTTTTTACTAATTCGTGAATGGGCAAAGGACTGTGAGCGAAGAGTAGCAGTGGGGTTTAAATAGCGGTGAAAAAATTTTGAGTACCCGTCTAATTTGTGAGCTATCCACCGCAAAATATACAAACTGCAAAAACATTGGATAATGAAGCCAAATCCATGTAATGAAATGGCTCGGTAGGATAAGTGCTTTATTATCAACAGAACGCCTACAGACACATGTGTTTACAATGATAACAAAGATTTTCGTGCAATAATTACAGAGGTGTACATTTGTAAAATTTATACAACTATTAAACAAGGTTATATTTAACGCGTCTATCTCTTTCACGGAAGCGATCATATACGTATTTAGCCACAATTTTTTGCGTTTTCTCTCCTTGCTTCATACTTATCAACGTTGTAAAGGCAGAGCTTGGAGTCATAGAGTCAAGAATAAGATTAGTTTCCTTTTTAGCGTATTGAACAGCTCTCTCCTAGGATCCCTATAGGCTATGCGATTCATCAAAAAAAATGCTCCTCGTCTTCTAATCCAGTTTTACATAATGGACAGATTCTTTGGTCTGGTGGTTGATAGGGTTTAACGTATCGTCCAGCTTCAATTGCTAGTTTGTGGTTGCTTAATCTTAGCTTTGTGATTGCTACTCTATGATTGATGTTTCTTACATTTTGTGAGGTAATTTTCGTAGTCATGGGTAAGTTTAAATTTCCTAAAAGTTCTTAGTTTGTTTTTTTGATGCGGGTCCTTTCGTTCATCATTGTGTATTTCGCTAATCCATGTTTGCTGTTCTATGTCTAAGAGTCTCTGTCGTATATAGTTCATGATTGCGGGAGTGTTAGTTTTCGCTGATCATATGTCGCCAAGACCTGCGAGGTTTAATAGTCGTTTTAATTTGCTTGACCAAAGTTCCTTTTTATCTTGACCAATTTGGTCTGTAAATGCTATTCCAGAGAGTTTATTTTGGTGCTCCGGCTCACAAAATTTCAGCCAATATTTAATGGCTCTGCACTTTGTCTTCGTTCGCATTGGGAAACGGCCTACCTCCGATCTGCACGCATTTGAGCTACAGAATTTGTTAACTCCCAATAGCCACCTTATGAACTTTGTTTGAACAAACTCAATTGGATCATTTTCTAGCTTTCCGTCGTGATCGACCCCCCAGACCTCGCTTCCGTAGGTGAGTATTGGGGAAATAACCGTGTCAAAATTATCATTGTGAGCTGTACATCGTCTCTGAAATGGTCGCCCATTTCCTTCCTGAGTTTGTACAAAGCTTTAAGGGCAACCTTCTTTATTTCCTGTTTAGCGTACGTGAAGGTCCCATAAGTACTAAATTGTAGGCCAAGATATTTGTAATTGCTAACATTATCAAGTTTACTGTCTCTATTGTATAATACGTGCTTATTCATGGTTCTCCCGCAGTTATTAAAAATTAACACCTTAGTTTTATTGAGGTTAACCGACAAGTCGTTTTCTTTGCAGTATTCACTGAGGGAATCCAAATAATTCTGCAGTCCGATTTTTGATTTGGAGAATATGACCAAGTCATCCGCGTAGAGCATACAACTTAACGGTAACTCGTTTAGTTCTACGTCGTTTAGGTTCTTGGCCTTAAGTTTCTCTGAAAGGTCACTGAGATAAAGGTTAAAAAGGGTTGGCGAGCGCATGCAACCTTGTTTTACACCGGTATGGCATCGAAAGGCAGGTGTTAGCATATTTTCAGTTTTCACAGATGATTTATCATTGGAGTACATTGAATGGAAAATCTCAAGGAAGCGCCCCGTTACTCCCGCTAGCTTCAATTTTTGAAACAGTTTCCCTCTGGGGATACTATCGAATGCTTTACTAAAGTCAACAAAGCAGGTGAATAAAAGGTTATTTGATTTCTTGGGTTTAGATTTAACATATTTGTCTATTAGTGCTTTTAAAATGAAGATACTGTCCTGTGTACCATGTTTTTTTCGGAAGCCACATTGTTCTGGAGTAATTATGCCCTTTTCAATTAGATAGTCACAAAGCCTGCTATTCATTATTGAGGTAAAAATCTTTCCCATGGCTGATAAGAGAGTAATCCCTCTATAATTCTCTGGGTTGGACGGATCATCTTTTTTGAAGATTGGTATAATTAGGCCATGACTCCACAGGGTAGGGTACCTACCACTGGTTAGGATTTTATTGAAAAGGATTGTAAGAGGCCCTTTTAAGGCCTCTTTGCCATGTTTGAGCAGCTCGCATAAAATGTTATCTATTCCGGGGCCTTTCCAGTTTTTAAGAGGTCGATAGCAGTTACCGTTTCCTGTTCAGATATTTCATAATCTAGGGGCCCCAAGGCCTCTGATCTTGTTAGTATGTACTCTTCGTTTTGCTGTTTTCGTGCGTTTAACTTTTTAAAGTAACTGTAAAACTTCTCTAAGTCCTCAGATGTATTTTTTTGCATATTTTTGGATTTGCCCAGGTTGAATAATTTCCTAAGTTGTCTCCACGCAGTTTTACCATTACTGAGATCAATGCATTTAATTATCCGATTATAATGTTGGCGTTTCTTTTTTCTGCACAGGTGTTTGAAAGCCTTTTTTTTCTTGTGTAGATTTGATCTCAATTCCTCCACGTTCGGGTTTCGTGAGATATGCCTACCCAATGATTTAAGATTCTCTTTTTCTATGTTGCATTGCTCGTCGAACCATGGTTTTTCACTATGCTTCCTCGTGGTGTTAATGAATCTCAAGCCTGCTTGTTTGCATACGTCAATCAAGTTTTGTGTGAATAGATCAGTCATTGTGTCCACGTTATTGTTATTCAGTGCTGTGTTCAGCCTGTTTTTTGTTTCTGTACTTTCTAAGAGTCGGCTTAATTCGTATTTCGCATTATCATCCCAGACTAATTTCTTAAATTCGCTTAACGTGATCTCGTCTGGTTGTTTGCCGGAGCACCTTTTTTTGTGTTTTAGCATTAATGCGAATGAAAGAGAACAATGGTCCGATAGGTGGGGTTCCAGATCTTTGACAATAAAGTAATTAAGATATCTGAGAATTCTACTGGAAATGATAACATAATCTACCACACTGCTCCCATTGTATTTGAAGCATGTTTTTTTCCCTGTAAGATCACCTACCACTCTGCCGTTCAGGATCCTAAGACTGAGAGCTGTGCAAAGATCAATCAGAATCCTGGGCTGCGTAGCTTGCAGCTGGGCTGCATAGCTTGCAACAATATCAGTTAAACCAACAACTGTACTTCTCAGTTGCAAAATTGATACCGGAAAAAATATCAGCCCATTTCAAGCGTCATATAAATAGTGATAACAAATGTTCTTTCACGTTCACGCAGAGTCATAACACAATCATGCTTGACCGAAAAAGTATATGATAACCTTATAAGAACCGCAACTATATGATTTAAAATAAATTTAAATTCAACGGAATGGCTTATCTCCCTAACAGAAAGGAGACTGTAATAATATCTGCAGGCGTACATTCATATAACGTTATTTGCTTCCTTTTAAACTCTCAAAGATAATCGAAAAATCCACAGCTGTATGTCGATCTTAGCTGTCTATGGCTCCGTGAGGCTATAGATAAATTACCGAACATTCAAATTTTGGGCAACTTTCCAGAGTCCACGTTCTTATCTATTTATCAAAAGCATGGAAACAAGGAAGTGTTAGTGAAAATAGTCTTGATCGTTTTCGATTTAGTAATTCTTAACTGAGACGACCTCAGTGTTGTCAAATAACCGAGTCAAACCGAGTACAAAGCAAAGTACGGAAAATTGCTAATACTCACCAGAAATTATAGCTGTTCAGCCCTGTTGGCTATTCCGCATAAACATGTAACTATATTCAGCTATTCTCAACGTGTCTCAGTCTTTTATGGTTTCAAGAGCAGGTGTTTTTTTTTAAGCTAGTGGGAGTCGACTTGTCTTCACTGATTGGCTCTTTTCTGGTTGCCGTGTTTAGAATATAAAACCACCACAACATAGAGCACGAAAAGCGCGCACATGAAGGTACTTGCTGTGAGTCTACAACTAGTCACAAAATAGTTGAGACACTTTTCCCACAAAAAACCCGGTTGTCAGCGGAGGAATCTTACGAGTTCAAGATATTTCTCCCCCGTTTATTGTACTGAATACAATCTTCGAAACCGTACAACTTTGATCACGTTGGAGGGAGGATGGGGGAAGAATTAGAAGGCAGTCTGACTGTAAAAAACACCATTTTTTGGGCTTAAAACGTTACACTGCGAATGCCGCGCCAGCCTTTTTGCAGCTGGATGTAGAATAGTTTAGTGTCACAGAACAGGAGTCGAATTAATGTATTGTTCAATTCTACCTGTTACCATGCCCCCAGGAACAACAGCCGGGGATTTGCAATTTTTTTTCTTGATCACTCAGGCTCATGCCTTTTATTTTGTTTAAAAGCTGTACACCCGTTTTATGTAGATTTTATCAGTAATCGTCTCATTATACAGATGAATACGTTGAAGAAATATTTCTTTATTTATGACGAAAGCCACCCATTGGGGTACGATTCGTACGCACATTAGTCTAACATTTTATGAAAAAACGTACTTTCGAATACAGGTTATCATTTTGAGAGGTTAGTACTATTGTCCTCTAACCAACCTTTTTTAAAAAAGAAGAGAGAGGAATTCGCCGTCGTGTGTTTACGTCCTCCATAAAACGTCGCATAAAGAAATTTCACGTTGTGGTCGTGCACTGACGGTAACGAAATGTATAAAAAAAAGCATGATGCAGGTGCAAAGTTGTTGTTTTGTTTATAAAACAAATTATTTTTTTGACGTTCTCGTCGCCGTCTCCCTCGTCGTTGCTAAAGCTTAGCGGCCTGCTCACACAATTTGGTGAAACGCTGTGGTAGATTAGTTTTAGAAAGTATACTTGATAAAGCTGTCGCAATA